TTTCCTTTAGATAAGACAGAACACTCTGAATGATGTGGACTGGGTAAAATATCTCTCTCTGAACGAGGTGTGTACATATTGCTAAAGAAGAATTTTTATTTTTCGCATTTTGCCAGAGTTGCCAATTGACTAGTGACTGACACTATATTTGTTCTGTAAACAATCTGTAAATGATCTAATCTAATTCACAGATTCATTAATTGTTTATCTTTGTGTTAAATAATAGCCAATTATAACAGAAAATATTAATGCAAAAAGAAAATCTACTGCCTAATTAGAGGATAGCATATACCCCAACTATGAATTCAATACAAATATATGCACAGGTTTTCTTTTAGATTTAAATCCCAAAGTTGCTTCAAAGTATGCTTTTAAGTAATTATCTTCCACTAGATATTTGCGATAAACATCATTGGTTTTCACAAATAATTTTTTTCTTATTATTATTAGCTCAAGTTTAAGCTTACCTTTTAAGAGATGTACTGAATTCTCAGTGGCAGAGTTAGCGTTTCACCAGCTAATCGTCTGAATTAAAGGTTTTATCAGCTGGATTTGATGTGACACCTTTGCAGACTGTTACATTTGGCACCAACTGAGAAAAAGCCTAAGTCTATGCTAAACTGTTTCCTCAATTAACTTTAAAGTGAAAATGACTTAAGTGTAATAAGTGTAATGTGTAAATAGATTTTGTGTCTATGTACTTTATGTAACAATGAAGTAATTTACATGGTGTCCTCTGTGGCAAAGTATCATTATTAAGAACCAGTTTGTGTACGAAATCATTTAAGTGTAAGGTTGAACACACTAAACCAATTGGGCATGTAAATACAGAAATACATGGGAAAACTTTTGTCCATGTGCAACAACCTGAGAGGAAATTCTTACCAAACGTAATTTTAACAGGATCACATCAAAAGGTTTTTGTCCCTCAAGGTAGTTTATCATTTTCTAAACATTGGCTGGTGACATGATGACATCCACAGCAGATATTTACAAAGAAATGTAAAACAAAAATATTTTACATGATTGTTAATATAAAACAGACAAGCTACTACTTCCTTAATGACACATTAAATGTTTAACTTATAATGATGAATATCACATTAAAATAACCTTTAGTTCTCAAGTACTAATGCTGCAGATTTATATTATCTAGTAGAATTAACTTATTTGTGCTAATCTGCCCTAAAAAAGGAACTCTTTGAGTACATCAAGCTAATAACCTCTTTAGTTGTTGAGGTAACGGTGAAGGCCTGTTGGAATGCTATATGTTTTTAATTCTGTGTTTATTTAAACCTGCCCAAATCTGCACATATGTTAAAAAATCCTTAGCTTTGTGGTATTTTAAAGATCCTGATCTGTAGTTATTGATTTTATTCAAACTATGTTTGTGGATCTCAGAAAAAAAACACCACTGATGCAATTCAAATATAACACTAAAATACTTTGTTTAATACCCAGATTAATTTAAGACGGCACAGACCATCCTCTTGAATTTTATAATCCTCAGTAGCAGCATCATTACAGTATTACACCAATAAGTTGGATGATGTTGACCTGAGAAATGCGTAGTTCTTAAATTAGCTCAATCACACTGGTCAGTTAAAATGTTTATATTTTCAAATAAATGAAAATATAGAAATTTTTGGAAATGTCAACTAAAAAAAAAAAAAAAAGCAGTTATACATTAGACATCTTTTTCGTTCTTGCCCAAATAAATTATATGCAAATCTCTTGATGGAGTAAAATATCAATGTTTTCTTCCTTGTGGTACAGTCACTCTATTGCTATGTTACCATATCATACAGTAGCTCTCTCTCTGTAAACTGGACACATCGATTGCTCCCATTATTGCATTTTAGGGGCTGATATAATCAGTTTGCAGTGAGTTGTGGTTCAATAACTTGCCACAGGTCTCTGTGTGATGTGGCCAGCTATTCATTGAATGGTTAAACGTGACACTTATAGAGGCTCACATATGGAACTCAGAAGCTATATGATATAATAATCTATATAATATAATAATCCGCTCTTTTAGTACTCGGTACATGTTATTCCTCCTGTTGATGATCTTGCTGCAGGGATCTAATGTGAGAACATAGTACACAGTATTGCAGATATTTTAAAAATAGTGTTTGTCCTGAAGGGATGGTGGTTAAAACATGTTCAGCACTCCAGCAATGTCACAAATAGCCTGAAAAGGAATTGAATAAAAAAAAAAAAAAGACTAAACGAAGCTTTTTGCAAGGACTCGTGTTTGATCTAAATAAAATCCAGACTGAAAGTAGGTCAGCGCTGAGGGAACTGGTGTGGGCCTGAGAGCACCGTGTCTGCGAAACCCGCCCACCCCCATCCTTCCCGCTGCCATGCTCTCATCCTTTCAAACATCCCTTTTCATTTCATTCTGAAATATCTGACCTTTTGATCCCAACAGGTAATATTCACACATCTTCTTTTTTTTTTTTAAACAGCCTTCTTCAAAATTGGAAATAATAAATGAATAAATATAGATATATTTTGGCTTACTATTTTGGTAAATTTTTTTTGCAAACCCATTCTTTTGCTCCAGAGCCTGAATCCCTGTCCCTGGCAACCTACGCAGGGGGATTATATGGCTGGCATCATCTAAATACAAAAACCAATCACGCAGATACGTTAAGCAGCTCTTAAGGTTATTACCTTGCTTTCAGTCATCTAGGGTGAATTGCAGGACTATAAAGGTCCACTCCCTCTGATTTTTGACAAAGGATAGTAATAAAACTTATATAGAAAAATAAACAGGGGTATATTGATATATCCTATATTAAGCCTATTGGGAAGATCAAAAAAAAAACAAAAAAAAAAAACAGATTTTCTCTTGAAAATTTCTAATTAAGTCATATAAAATACAAATTAATTTTTTTTTGTCTTATCACAGTGAGGAAAGCACAAACTGTGTAGTTTATCTTTGGTAAAAAAAAAAAAAAACATCCTCTTCATCCGTGATGAGTCTAAGTATGCCTTTGAAAACACAGAGGACAGATTTAGGTGCCAAATACAGAACTGTTAGCAGCTAATAATCAGCTAGCTGTAGTATTCTTTGTTAACAATGCTATTTCATTTCCAGCCCGTTACCCTCCTGCCTTCTTTTTATATCATGTCTCTAAAATTTTGTGAAAATGTAAAGTTCTTCAGAACTCACAGAACAAACTTGTCCAGCTAAATACAAAAATGTTTGTGGTTGTCAGGTTTAAAGTACTCACCTCAATAGGCTTATTTTCTCAGACAAAGAAATGCTCTGACAGCCACTGGAGAGTGCTTTTTGCAGTATTATTCAATTTTAATATTGCAATACTGTCTGCGATGAGATCTTCCTAAGTGCTTATAAATAAAGAAATAGCTGTTTGTGACTATCTAAATACACTCTGGTGTTATATTCCTAGTTTTCTTAAGGAGTAGTAGTTTAATATCAAGTAATTTATTGAACAGTATATTGTTAACGTGCCTACATCTGAAAATAATGTGAAAATAATAGTTGCACAATATGTACATTACTTACTATGCATCAAGTTTAAAAGACAAAGAAAACTAATGGAAAGTGAAATAATCCATCTAGTGAAAAAGAAACAGCTGCTTCTGTTTTGCAGCTTGTGTTGCAGATATGTCATCAAATTTTACTACTCCAGGGGAAGGGTTTAATAACCCATACTTTAACTCTTATTAAATGCATCTGATTTAATCAGATTAGGGCTCCACTTGAGGAGTTCTGAATAGAGCATAATGAGTTTTTTATCAAGTTTTTCTTTTTTATTTAAATGCAAAACATTTACATATGTTTTTTATAATTTTGATATAATTACTTAATATTACAAGTATAACTTATAATTAAAGTGGGTTCCTCTGTCAGCTAAAGGCATGTTTTACAAGCTCTATTGTCCAATTAATGGTTAATCGACTACTACATCAGTTGACCATTATTTCAATAATTGATTAATCACATTGATTCTTTCAGCCCTAAATCAGAAGCATACAATCTAAACAATAGAAACATTTTAGGATGAGTCAGCTAAGTGGACTAAGGCTTCATTCTAAAATGTATTAATATAGTTATGCTTATTTTTTTCTCTGTGATTGCTCACAAGATAGATTAACACGCTGTATAACCTTTATGTGACCAAGAAAAGATTGTAATAGTTGGTTTTCAGCAACCGGGAATGCATTTTTATGAGGGGTGCATCGATTACACGTTTCTGGCAGATCACGGATTCCCAATCTTTAAAAAGGCTGACATGCTGATCCCAATTTTGACCCTTATAGATTAATTTCTCTAATTGTCAGTTGTTATAAGACCACAGGACACAAGATATTTCAATATTATCTTAGTGAAAAAATATGAATCACTGCCTGCAAAACATTGAAACTTCTGAAATAACTGCTCTCAATTTCAAGGAATTGACAGTGGGTGTTTTTGAAACACTATCAACCGAGATAGATAAGGTTGATGAAGAAAATCAGTTTCACATCTAAGTATTGGCTGATCACTGATCTTCCAAATTTTGAAAATGGAGACCGAGCAATCGGACAAAGATTACATTGAAAAACTGTTTTATGCAACTGCAGAGATACAATGCAATTAATTGACAGGTCTCTCTATAGTAACCGAATGCTGTTAGCCACTTTGTGTCTTATTTTTTAACTGACTGTCATAAAAGCACACTGCAGCTGAAACAATTCTACTTTGCTCTATGAAATTAAAGAAAATTTAAAAATGGATGCCAAGCTAAAAGCACTTACCCTCACACCCGCAACTATACATAAATATATCTTTTTAAGATATAGTTCATACTTCTTAAAGTTTGCTTGTAGATACTTTAATTAATGAGTAAATGAGACGACATGTATTGCAACATTTTTCTTGAACTTTTACACACTCCATTTAGCATAAAAAAAAACTTAAAATCCAAATAAATGCCTACCTTAGATTAGTGATGATAATATTTAACATGTATTATCTCTTTTAGATGGAGAGGGGGGTGGAGAACTCTCACCCCCAGTGGGTGCTGGAGTCAACAGCAATAGCTGGCACTTCCGATATGGCGCCGGACAAGGCTACATCCCTCCTCAACCCCTGAAACCTGGGGAGATTCCCCCTGAAGCCTTTATCATCCCCGGATCTCCAGCCATCATTTCCATCCGCCATGACCCAGGCCCTGTGGATGACAAAGGTGACTTCATTAGCTTCGGCAAGAAGGATGAGGCTAAGAAGAAGAAAAAAAAGAAGAAAGACAAGAAGGACAAAAAAGATAAGGGAAAGGATGACAGTGGCGATGATTAGGGGGAAAAGTAGGTGACCAAAAAGCAGAGCTACTCCATACTGTAATCTATCGTCCCAGTTCCAGAGCCAGAAAAATAAACCAAATGCACAATGTAACCAGGGGAACCATGTTTGCATAGACCTTGTACAGTGGCCAGAAGCTCATTTGATCTGCTTTGGCTCCCATATTACCCGAACTACAAATATTCTTAATCCAAAGACTGGACCAAATTCAAACAAAAAAAAAAAAAAAACAGTTTATTTGTTAGATCAGCCTTCCTGTGATTTACCATCCAGTCCCCCAAACTGTTATCTGCTTTGTACATTGACAACAGAAATGCACCATAGACGGTGCTCTATTTGTATCTGACCGCTGTCAGCTGAAGCTGCTGGTGTCAACATATCTGGCACCCTTTCATTTATCGCCAAGCCAATGTGAAGTCAAAGCCACAATGAAATAAAGCAAATGAAATGGAAGCTTTCATCTTCAGTATTTCAGAGGGCTTTTAGGAATTCAAAAGTCTTTTGTAAAAAAGGGAAAAAAGAAAAAAGTTCAAATATTTCCTATATAGTTACCATGAGATAAGCACCTTTAAGAGGATGAGGTGGCTGAGAGAAGTTGGAGCACGCTCCAACTGAGCTGTGTCATTATGGAGCCGCATACTGGATGGACTAAAGACCTGCACTGGGTTGCACTAACTATACAGCAAGTTTGTCCCCAGATTAGTTTACAAGCAAGTGGTTTCATAACTGCTAGTTCATTTGAAATTAGGGAGTTACTGAAATTGATTGTACAGAGTTAGTTACAGAGTACTTTCTCAGCAATTTCAATATGTTGCTGATTGATAAACATGGAGTTTTGATTAAAGTAAAGGTAAAATAGTATAATGGTTAGAATATAATAGAAATGTTTTTGTCCATTCTCTGCCATTAACTCTTTGTAACATTTTTTTTTATAAAGCTGTTGTAATTTTTGTTTTGCTTTATTGACATTCATTTTGGACTGTTCTATAACATGCAAACATGCTGAAACTCAAGAACCCTGAGAGTGAGTACAGCCTTTGCTGTAGCTTTACTCCCTTACTGCCTTACATTTATTTATGATTATATTTTTCTTCCTATCAAGCATATGCTAAATTAATGTGAGTTTTCTCATCTGAATACAGGGCAATCTCTAATTCTGATATTTAGTTTGTAAATTAATGAAATCAGTCATAAATACAGAAAGTTTAGATTGCTTTATTCCAGCTAAAATCTCCTAATGACATCAGTGAACATTAGAATAAGCAATCAGTATTGATAGGATATATATAATATTGTGGCTGCATAAGTGCTAGAATTCGTTTGAGGTCAATTTATAAGTAGTGATCAAAATGTTTTTTTTTTTCTTATTACTTTTAAGCCCTTTGTGTAGATTTCACCAATTGAAATATGAACATGACAGGTTAGATCAAATATCTTAAGCAATCTGAACCCAAATATAAATTTTTAAATGCAGCATCTCAAGTAAATTTGTAAATGAGAATAATCTGCCGGACAAAAACACAAAAAAAAACAACAAGATAGAAATGTTGATGTTTAACTGGTTGGTTGTGTTACATAATGTGTAGAAAATGGACAGAAACATAAAAACACACAGTTTAGGGTCTTTGCTTTGCCGCTAATGCAAAAATTTGCTGTTTGCAAACAAAAAAGGGGATAAAAATTGCTAATTTGTTGGTAGTGAGTGCAGTTTTGTGATTATGTATCATTTGCACTTGCTTTATTGCTTGCCTACTTATATAGTTGTTCCATAAGGTTACGTTCAAACTGATTTTTGTAGTGTTGCTTGTCAAGCAAGAACTGGAAATAAATAGGGAGCCTTCATGCAGCTGATGAAGGCAGCAGCTAAACCTTCCTCTTAAAATATGAGACGGTTCAATATGGTATATACCAGACACTCAAATACAGACTTGTTGCCTCACACACGCAGATAAAAATAATTTGAAAACACACAGACTGTCTATCTACTAGGAAAAAGGAAAAATAAAACTTAAACCAAGAATCCTCCCTCCATTCTGGAAACTGAAAAACTGAAGGTCAGTACTTAATAGTAGAGTGTATTATATGCCTCAGAAGCAGGAACATTGCTTGTCGCTTCATTTCTGTTCAAGCCCCTTTCCCTCCGCTTCTGTCTTTGAATGTTAAGTAGTTGTTCTTCAAGCTCTGCACCACTGCCTCAACTGCTTCAGTGCTTGTAGGATTTGCTTGCACCTGCTGCCTGTTTCCTCCCTTTATTCCTCAGATCTACATGGTTCAACGGCATCCTTCCAGTCACTCTCCTTCAGTGAACTGTGCAGTTGTAACAGAGTATAACATTTGTGTATATTCATATATCCACACATGGCAACACAGGAATATAATGCACCACACTCAATTTACCCCTTTCCTTGGGTTCAGCTTTGGCTTGAACCAAGCCCAGGCGCTTCTGCCAGCAAGACCCACCTTTTGACTACTCTTTGTTGACAGCTCTGTCTCCTCTTGTATGGATTGTGCACTTGGCATGGTGTAGACGCCTGACAGGTGAGCAGAAAGTGCTCTACTGGATAGGCAAAAAAGAGAAGTCAGAGAGGAGTGAAAAATGTTGGTCCATAGCAGAAGACAGAGACATTACTGGGTAACTTGACTGCCTTTTGTTTGAGGAGAGACATTGGAGTTCCTCATTCTGAACGGATCATCTTGGGTTGAATGAACTCAATCATAAAGGGGTTGAAGCACAGTTTATTGCTAATGGAAACGGCCTAAGGTTTTAATACTAATAGGGTGAGTGGTAAGAATAAATGGTGGTGAAATGCTTTTGTTGTGCTATTATTGGTAGTCATTTGGGGAAAAAAGGGATACCAGTCTGGTATAATTTCTACTGTTATTGTTACTGCTTTATTGCTTCGCTGAAACAAAGTAGCCTGGAAGTGCCATGTCAAGCATTAAACCTGAGTGGGGATCAAAATGTGAACCACTGTTTACCAGACAGACTGTTCAAAGCAGCAGGTATCAAAACAACACGGTTAAAAGCGCCAGAAAATTTCACCTCAGTGTTCCTTTCTTTAGACCATTGTATTGCAAATCACCTTTGGGGTACATATGTAGGTGGTGCTCTACAGCCCGGGCCCTACCATCTCCCTGAACTTTCTGCAGACATACTTCTGTGCTGTCAGATCACCAAGTGACTGTTTGCATGTTGTAAGCAAAGGAAACAGATTCTATATAGATACTATATATACATAGATATGTTTTTTCTGCAATATTTATTGGAATACATATAGATCCAACCCAAGAAATACATGTTGAAAGACTTGCCTTCATCTATCCAGGTAAACGGACATCTGATCCATGAAGACACTATTGCAAACAGAAAATTGTGGAAAAGCCTAAAATAATCACATTTTTATCCTGCTGAAAACTACTTCAATCATCTAGACATAAGCAATGCTGTTGTATTCTACTATGAAAGGCCTTTTTTCATGTTTTTATCCATATGATTTTCATGGCTAAGAAAATCAGTCCTTAAACCTCTGTTGAGCTTTGTAAAGATCAAACACTTATGTGAAATAAAACCATTTATTCATCCTGCATATCTGTCTGTTGCCCTGTAGAAAAAAAAAAAGAAAAATAAGAAAAAAAAATGTATAAAAAACATTTAATGTTAAAAAAAAAACATAGTAGTAAAGTTGATGTAATCTCTGCTTGTGTATAGTGAACGTTCCTCAGTCGCTGGGTGCGTGAGCTGTGACTGGCTCAAACCGGTCCACTGTGTCTGTGCAGATCTGTTCATGACTTTTTTGTACACCTGATAATCATTGTTGCAGTGATAATAGTGGTTCTTATTATTTCATCAACCTGGTAATGTGTTTTATTAAGAAGTCACAAATAAAGTTTTTTTCTTAAATATCTTAAAAGTGGTTTTCCTGTTTTTTAATCTGTGACAGTTTTAATTGCTTTACTAAAACCAGTCCAAAACTGGCTGCATGGTGGCACAGTTTTGTAGCACTGTTGCCTTACAGGAAGAATGTTTTGGGTTTGAATGCTTACTGAATTTGCATGTGTCGGTTTTCCCAATCAAAGGCATTACTATAATGATAATTTGTGACCTTAAATGGATAGAAATACAAATTTGTGTGCGTGTCTTTACTTGTTTATGTTACCTGTATAGGACCATTTTTGCTATATTTACAAACCCTCTACGAACCAACAGGCCTTATGGGCACAGAACTGGTCCTAACGTGGCAGACCCCAATTTCTAACCTTAGAGGGATAGTTTAAAGGTATGGTGTAAATAAGCTTTAGGTTAAGGTTAGGAATATACTGATAATGGTTGGGTTAATGCCATGTTATGCGTAAATGCAGTAACTAAAAGGAATGTAAGTCAATGTTAGGTCTTAATATGGATAGAAATAAAGACGTGTGTATTGCATAGGTGTGTTTGGCCATGTTTTTATTACCTCATGGAGACAGTTCTAAAGAATATGCCATATTTTGGGGAATTATACAGTAGGTACTCGTGGGGACTGACAAGGAAAGGTTCTCTTCATAGGGTGAGGATTAGGTTTAGGACTAAGTTACAAATTGAGTAGGTTGGTGTAAGGGTTAGGGTTAGCCATGTCTAGGTTATGGTTAGGGTAAGGGTTAGGGTCAGCTGGGAATTTATATTTCTGATACTTTAAGATGTTTATTGCCCTCCCCGGTAGGGGTGGTAAATATCTTATTTAATCAGATATCATTTTGGCTGTTAGATATTATTTATGAACACACACCCTACTAGCTGTGTGTTAGAATAATAGATAAAAGAGTGATTTAAGTTTAAGGTCGTGGTCAAACAGTTAATTCTGCACATACCTGGAAGAAATTCTCAGAACTTCTGTTCAAAATATAAGAGTTTATTAACAAAAATCATTCAGCTCCAAGTGAAACATATTTCAGTTTAAAACTCTTAACTAAAGCTAGTGAAACTCAACTAAACTAAACTACTATGTATGAAGAGAATGGGGAAACATGGTTGAAAACCATATTACAGTTTAAGATGGATTTTGCGTTTGAAAACCAAAGTTTATCTGGAAGAATTTGAGATAAGATCAAATTAGCTTTTCACTATTTTAGAGCAATTGGAATGTTTTCAGACCAATTCACAATGCAAATCCATGAGGCGAATAAAACATTAGTTGGCCAATAATATTTTATTAAATTATTTGCTTAATCGGGAACCAGTAGCCTTAGTTACCCTCTTTGAAATAGCTATCAACGAATAGACATTGGGATTCCACTAAATTACTCTTGGCCATACATGGTAATCGAAATGTAATGAGTATATGAGGAACATGAACACTAATGTTATATCAGTGTTTAAACGCTTAGTGAAATAAAGCTTGTCCAAGCTTCAACAAAAGATCAAAACATATTACTGTAGCATAGCATGCAGTCCATTCTGTTAGCTATGTCTTTACTCACCAGTAAGTACATGAAATGATAAAAATTATCAATAGACATATTGTTTTTTCTGTCCCTAATTGTGCCAGACCTGCAATTTTGTCCATGTCCATTTGGAAGGCTTGAGTTTGCAGTCAGGCTAACAACAACCAGGGGTTTTATTTGTCTCAGTGGTTCATACCAAGGCAGGCTTTCTCATCAAGTCTGGCTCTATAAGTTCTAAAACTAAGGAGAAATGTGTTGCAAAAAGTCTGTTTTGCAGCAGTTTGATTCTGAAAGGTCACCACGATGTTGCATCCATGATTATTCTGGAGATCTGGGTCTTTTTGGGCCTTGATCTCCATTTTGGTGGCGACCCTTCCGAAGTGGACCCTAGGCAGCCTAATGGGAAAGAGAGAGAAAATCCTGTATGTTCTGTGGTTTTCACAGTCCTCAACACGGAGGGGTGTGTGGTTGGTCACACCCCTGTGACTTGCCATATGACTGCCTTGAGGCATTGGTTGAAATGATGGGGAGGTTGCAGAGGTCTTACAGCTGTTTATTTACCAAGCTGTATTTTCTTATCTGGCTATCATGTCAAGATGAAATATGGACACTGGTTGTCAATGTCCAAAAACCATGATAATGGCATATGGCACAACACTTGTGAAGGATGCAGGCCTACAGACGGACCTGACTTTGGTTCCTTGGTTTATGTTAGAGATGAAGCTATGGCATCATTGTTTACTTATGTTGCTTATTGCTCTTTTATCTTAAAATCCATCATTTGGACTTTTTAGTTTGTGAAAAAAGACCTTGTGTGCCTTATATCTTTCCATCCATCCGTATGTGATGAATGGGTAGCGAAATGTAACCATTGAAAATGTAACCAGAAGGGTTACTCAGTTAACATCGCTCACCAAAGAAGGAGTACTTTGTCCTCAAAGGAATTAATAATGTACCAGATCACAAGGGCCACATTCAAACTAATTGACACATCATCAGATAATTATTCCAGATGTGCTGATTCTAATGGGAAATAAATGCATAACAAAACAATTAAGAACAAAATTAAGTGTGAAATTAATCAAGATATTAAATGCTTTACCTCAGGTATGTATAATCATCCAAAGGTATCAGTGTCTTGTGATTTTAATGCTACAAATGGTGTAAATTATACATTTGCTCCACTTGTAAAGGTTGGCCTATTTAGAATGTAGTCTAGCTTCACTTGTCCAATCTCTTCTAATCTTTATCTCAATGTCTGGGTTTTGCCCTCAATTTGAAGTTGCCAATGTTTGTTCTCTGATAGCATATTGGGCTAAATTTGTTTGATTAGATGATATATAAACACATATTGGTGACTATTGCAATAAAAGCAGTGAAAAACTGAAAAGAATCAAACAAAATGAAATATATAAGTAATAATTATCATAATTATTATCCTATAGTTTGTAATGATATATATGATTACAATATATGACATCTTATTGCTTATGTCTGATGACAGTAAACCCTATTTTATTATACCCTGTCTCTTCCCTGAAGTCCTTAACGATCTTCCAGATTCTTCCCTAACCTTTGAGTCCATACAACTATAAAAGTTTTGTAAATATAAACTTAGCCAGGGGAACCATTAGTATCCAAATCAGTTCTTCTTAACATTCGCATATTTAAACATTGCATTATTTAAACACAAAGTTAGTTTCACAGCTTACACCTAGGTAGGTAGGGGTGGGTAGTAACTAAATACATTTTCCCAGGTACAATTATTTGAGCAACAAATAATTGACATCTTATGAACTGTTTTACTATAATATCAAATTTAGACGTTATGATGTCATAATGCACCCCAATGTCAGGCTGATATGGGAACTGCAGTGGATCCATAGATCGACCAGGAGGCAGTGATAACTGAGGACTAAAATTTAAAGGATCTTCATCAGATTAAAAGTCAGTGCCACAGACCTGGTGCTGTTGAGGTCCCTTGGTTGTGGGGTGTCAGGCACTGCTACAAAACTTCAGGTTAATGTTGGAAATCTATACATTGATGCAACGCAATTAATTTTGGCTGTAGCTAAGGAACCCAAACCTTATGCCATTCGGACCTGCAGTCCTTTTCACCTTGATCTTTTGTAGATCCTTCCTCATCTGAAGTGTTGAAAGGTATAGGTGGGTGGAATGTGGGTTGTATGATGGACTCCCCTGAAAACAAAGGTTATGTAAAGTCAGAAAATAATTCATCTGATCGTGATCAAGTTTTGGGAAATCATTTTAGCAGAGGTGGGACCAACTCATTGTAATGCAAGTATAAAGTAAGCACTCTTTATCAAGTCCTGAGTCACGTCTCAAGTAAAGACAGTCAAGCCAGAGTTGAGTCTCAAGTAAACACAGGTACCTGAAGCCAAGTCCCAAATCTGAAATTTCCAATTTCAAATCTTGTTTTTCCACAAAGTTGAATGATCTATAAATTATAAATAATTTACCATGTGTTCTTTTTTAAATTTGTGTTTATCTCAATGTGTGGTGAAACCAGTGGAGCCGAACATTTGCTAATAAAATTAAGCTAGCTAAGATCAGCCATCTCATCTTAGCTAATCTGTTGTTCTTGCTACAACTTTGATTCAGAACATTTTTTACATTTTTTGATTTTTTGTGCATGTTTTGTAAACTTCATCTAATTTCTTGTTGAGTAATTTGAAATGTATGTACTTGTTAAAGAAATTGGACACATGAGCATATACATATAAATTTTCTGGTTGAAACCTTGTTAATCCGATTGGCTTAACTACAGCACAAAAATGGGTAAACAATGCATGAAGACAGAGAGAGGCTGTGTATTTGTTAACAAATAAAAATAACTATTGGCAAATATTGTTTCAAATAATAGATGTCTTAACCTTTAGATTTGGGTAAAATCAAGTCTTTTTAACTAAACAGGTAAAAATCCAGCTCAAGCCCCAATTCAATGATACCAAAGTCCAAGTAAGTCACAAGTCTCAGATCATTGTTTACAAGTCAAGTAAAAAAAAATGAATGACTCAAGTCCAAGTTATGTGACTGGAGTCCCCACTTCTGTCTTTTTGTTTGTCTATTGAAACAATTATACTCCCTTGTTTCATCAATATAATTAAATACCAAAAAAGGCATTTTCTACATTTGGTGAGCTTCAAAGTCAGTAAGTAATGGAGCCTATGGGAACTTATCTTTAGTATTCTTGTATAAAAACTCTGGTCTGAGTCTGCTGATGTCTGTAGCAGGGGCTCCATCTACAGTATCTTCAAACCACAGAAATGTTTCAGCCTCTTTTAGAAGAGCCCGTCCATCTTTCCAACAGTGACACCTACTGCATAAAACCCAGATTGTTTACATCTACATTAGCTGCAAGTAGTAAGTGGCTTACAAAAATACTGTCTATATGTTTAAATGTTATTTAAAATCATTAAGTTAAGAGTTGATTCACTATATATATATATATATATATATATATATATAT